TACGAAAGAAGATTTGGAGAAAGATTCACAAAAGTGGATATGCCTACCTTATTGCGAACTAACTAAAAAACTACGGCCAATACTAAGGAAATGAAATATTCAAGTGATCACGAAAGAAAAAACAACACTTTTCACAAGTCTACTCATGCAACATTGAGTGTGGACAAATTGGATTGCTCGGGAGTTTACTGCATAGTATGCTGAGCCTGCAAACATCAAAAATATTGGTTAAACAGGTGAAAAAATAAGCATATTAATCAAGAAATATCAAACGAGCTGCAGGAAAATAGGTAGTGAAAGGTCGAATATAGCGGAACGCATCGCATATCAATTGGAAGGTAACCGAAAGAAGGGCTTAATGTGATGAAAACACAAAGAAACGGAGGGTTATGGAGGACATTGACAGCTTTGGGAAATAAATTTAATTAACAGGAGATTAGAAAAAGGCAGAGTTAGCGATAACTTTGCCTACTGCTTAAGCTAACTCGAGGAAAACAAGGATACGGCAAGACCAGCAAAAAGGAGACGTCTGGATCAAGGACCTATCGTTAGACAGAGGAAAAGAGATCGCGAGGACCAAGGTGGGAAATTTCGGAAATCAAGCGAAGAATTTCTTAGTGAATGAATTATGCTCGAATAAGCCGCTACAACTTGGAGGGCTTGGCGGTTACGAAACAATGGAGACGGATAAGCACAGCCGTCACAGAAATTCCAAGTTATTGCAAAAATGTACTAAAAATCCCCTCGAGATGCTGCAGGCGACCAAGGATAGGAGCCCACAGTTTTCTCAGGTAGCACGAGTTTAACCAAGGAGATGACTCATGAAAGCAACGCTTAATATCTGCAGGCATGGGAATCAGAGCCTAGACATTCTGCTCGGTGAGGTAGCAATGTACTTGCTTATAAGAGCGTGAGAAACAGAGCCTAGAATAAAGCGTACATTGGGACAGGAAACGAAAGAAATCGGTCAACCAGAAAGATAAGAAACGGATCTACGATACCATAAGAGAGAGTTGGATTGTAGGATCGAGTCAGATTAGCCGGACGAAAGAGAGGGGGCAAGTATATTGATACCACACTAAACTAACGAAAAAAGGCACACCTTTTCACGAGTGGAATATAAACAAGTCAGAAATTGTGATGGGGCGGAAGTGGGATAGGAGGGAAAGGAGTAGATAGATGTGTCCTGACAAAAAAAGCGTAGCCGTTTCGGCACGAAGTTTGGTCAAGAGATTGACTTCACTTGTCTTTAATGAGTTGTAGCTTAGTGCTGAGAATGACAAGATTCATTGATGATGCCGATTACGTTGCCGGCGAAACTTCTGAGAATGTACCAAATCGACAGTCGGACGCTGAGAATTATAATAACTACTATGACAGCGGACTTCGGACAAGGTGCGTCCAAATAAGTCACCCTGGCAACACGACCAAGTTGAGAAAACGAGATCAAGCTAATTCTATACATCGAAAGGAGGCTGCGACCATACAGAGGGCCATACCATCTTGGTCTTCATATCTTCGAACAAAGATAGAAACTTAAAAATTAATTAATTTTACTTTATTATAAGACAAGCTCGAGAATGTTCATCATATGCTTGTGCACGAGATTTAAGTTAACCTATTCTTAAGCTGTTCTTTAGTAACATGTACCTAGCTTGCTTTTCACCAGCTAACTCCGTATGGGCCCTGATCCCAGCAGGGGTGTCAGGCCAACCGACAAGCGGGAAGGCATCTGCTAATGCTCCAGCCTGAGATGTTATGCAGGAGAATACTTCCAGGTCACGGAGGCCGCCAACTAATGCACCCCGATAGACACAAGCGATTAGCAAATCTCTGGTAGCCAGAGTACCACGAAGGTCGAGCTGAACCAGAGAAGAAGTATGCATGTTTTTCAATTTTGCTGATAGCGAAGAAACTGAAACCGTTGCTAGGTTGGGATTAGGTGTGTCCTGTAAGAAAGAAAAGGAAGAATAAAGTAGAGAAATGAGGCCAGATGTTGGAGGTTCAAAAGAATTTTCACTGACTTGAGGACTTGATGAATTAACTCCAAGTGGAGGATTGTTAGCCGGCGAAGAGTTCTCTTCAACCGCACAAAAAGCAGATAAGTGTATGTGTTCTGGCGCAGAAGCTGTAGATAATCGTTTGTTAGCGGGACCTAACTTAAAGGAGTCAATATAACGAGGCAAAAGGACATCCCAACCAGATGAGGAGGGGCGATGGCGACTTAACTGAGGACTAGAGTTCTGTACGAGAAGTATAGGAATGCCGTTTGATGAAGAGAGCAAGCACGACTATGGGGATTGAAAAAAAGAAATTAAATATTGAAAAATATAACTAAAGCAGGGGAAGGAGAGACTAATATCCAAATGCAATGAATTGAGCTATTAATTATCTTCAATTTTTGAATGAATCTAAAAGAAACAAGTAATAATAGATGAAAATTTAATGAAATATGATTTATTATGGGAAGAACTCAAATAGATTTAAAAATTAAACAAAATATTAACAAAAATATGTAAATTTTAATCGAAGGTATGAAGACCAAGATGGTGTGACCTTTTGTATGGTCGCGGTCTCCTTTCTTTGTATAGAAGTTGTTTGACCTTGTTTTCTCATCCTGGTTATATTGGCAGGAAGACCTTGGGGAGCGCACCTTGTCTGGAGTCAATAGTATACATAATCATTTCCATTTGGACCGCGGACTTGCTACATTCCCAGACATTTCGCCGGTACCGAATTCGACATCGTCAGTGAGCCTTATCATTCTTAGCACCATACTATAATTCGTCAGAGACAAGTGAAGTCTATACTTTGACTAATTGTCTGCTAA